TCACATCTCCAGTCGCCACCACACCCCTGGAAACCCTCTCCCACACACACGCCCTGCTCCTCTACCAAATCATGCTATTCTTCTCCCCAGACCCAAGCGCAAACCTCTCCCTAATCCCACACTTAGAATCTTCAGCCCTAACCCTCCTCTCCTGCATCTACTTCCCGGACCCCTCCTACGCCCCTACCATCCTCCCGCCCACTACAGAAGCAAAACAAGACTTCTGGACCTCGTGGATATTCCAAGAATCCGCGCGCAGGACTGTCCTTTTCGCGTTCTATCTGATCCAGCTCCATCGGCTGGTCCAGGGGGAGAGGAATCTCGTCTGTGATGGCTCGCTGGGGCTGGTGCATAGCTGGTACCTGTCGGCGTATTTGTGGGAGGCGCAGGATGCGGGGGAGTTTGGGGAAGCATGGATGGAGAAGGATCACTTTGTGGTTGGGCAGTTGAATTTCGGGAGGGTGCTTACTGAGGCTAGGGCTGGCGATGTGGATGTGTTTGGGAGGATGCTTCTGGTTAGTTATCTTGGGATTGAGGAAGCGAGGGCTTGGTTTTTGGCTAGGGGGCTATCTTGTAGGGTTCTCTCCCTCTTCTTTTCTTTTCTATTGGTGGTTGGGACTGTCTATACGGATGTCTCTTTGGGGTGTAACTCTTTTTTGTTTTTTACGGTTTTTTTTTATGTACATACTATGTGATTACTCTCATTCGCGGTACTATGGCAAAAAAGAGGTACAAAACTTCTGCGATAATGAAATTTCAGCTCGCGCAGTTAACCGCTTTCGCAATCAATGCCTCGAGAATACAATTTTTCGTTACTGTCCGAGACACACTTGACCAGTGCGCCGTAGAATAATCTGGTCCCGCAGATTAAACCTTTGTAAAAGCGCTGTTGATGCCGACTCTCCATGCATCAGATGTAGAACATCGTGTTCCGAATCCTCTCATGGACAAGAACATCCTTGTTTGTCGCCTGCATTGTACTACCACCACTGGCCACCGATGAGGTCTCAGATAACGGTTCATAGAATTGACTTAAGTAGCATCTGGCCCGGTCACAGACCAGGTCAGCGTATCGTGCAGGACAACAGACTCTAACGCCCTTTGTAGCACGGCCAACTAGGTAACTCAAGTGCAAAGTCAGATCTTGCACAATCTCCGCGATATTCTTGTACTTCGGTGGAAGCTTTCCCTTGTATCGCTGACTGAAGACCTCGTCTAGGATCACAAAATAGAAGGCGTTGCGGGCAGTTCCATGGATAGCGGAATGAGGCTGGAGAAAGAAGCTGAAGCAATAGGGATCCGTGATGCATCGATCGACGATCGTACACGGTGGCGTATTCCCGTTCTTGTCGGCAGTTTGCACTTCGGTTGGGTAAAAGCGCGTATGATGCCGCTTGCTGACAACGATGATGGTGATCTTGGGCAGGTTCTTCTCTTGCATCTCCTTTGGATAGACTTCTCGGCAGGCCTTGCGCATAAAGGGCAGCTCTTCCGTCAAGCACTTCATATACTGGCCTTCTGAGATTCCGTCACGGTAGACGATAATGTTCTCGGGAAATGATGCGTGCTTTCCGAGGAGCTTCCATAGCCTAAGGTGCCGCTTCAGCATAATGTCCAAGCTGTCGATTTCTTCCTTTCCTCCACGGGACTGGAGCTGAATAGTTGCAGGCCATTGTCCAAGCCCTTTGTCGATGCTGGCAACCATCGCTGCCACGCTAGGTGCAGTGGCTGGAGAAACTTGCGAGGACCCAGTTGGATGTGTTACGTCCAATCCAACAACCATGGTCTTGTCTTCATTGATGATACTCGAACGAAGATTGTCCACAGCATGATTCGTCCCGCCCAGCTTCAGGTTGAACTTCATCGCCACATTCCTCAGATACTGATCCAGGGCCTTGCCATATTGATCATGCATTTGACCTTTCTTTGCAACCAGCTTAGAACCAACACTGCAAATTGTCTGCAACCCGTACTCCACATCGCACAATCGCTTGATTACTGGGTACCAGCGACTGTCTTTCTCAGGCAATATGATGTAGAGGAGGTCGAAAATTCCAGCTGCCCTTTTAACCACATCATCAAGGTCCTTTGTTTTATCCTTATCCACCCTGACTATCTTTCCAATGAGGGGCGCGTCTGCCAGAACACCGGTGTCGAGAAGAACAGCCTGCAGCTTATTGACAACTGGTTGGAAGCTTTTCACGTCAGGGAATGTTTCTTGCACTTCCTTGTCTGAGAGCAGAAGATACGACCATTTGCGCAGCCTTTGACCAGGGACGTTGAATTTGGTGCTGATCATATTCCAAGAACCTGGAAATTGCTTTACACTGGAATTCCCCCGATACATAATATTTGGCTGGTCCAAGATCCGCCCCTCAACAGTGATCAACTGTCTCGCCGTGGATATACCGAATCGAGTCTACCATGAAATAACGTTACTATGTTTAACAACTATCGTTTCACGATAAGGACTCACAATCATTGTATTTCTTTGAGGGTTCAGACCAACAGTGTCTGCTCCTTGGTTGACGATAGAAAAGGCGTTCTTTAAGGGCGGACGAACGGCAAACTTGATCATGTCTTGCGTCTGGGCGGGGGACAACTTTCCATTGTGGATCTGGCCCGGAAGTATCTCAAACACTTGTGCCAGTACGTATATAGGACTGCCCCGTGTGCCAGTATTGATGACCGGCAAATCGGGTCGTTGGTCTCGGATGTTGTACGCTAGACACGACGTGTTAGTTAAGCAGCTATTTCGTCTCGGTTCACATGTACAAACTCACTTTCCAGAAAGTAATCATACACGCTAATCAACCTCGCAGGCCCAGCTAGTGATGCTGCGGATCCTGGTTGTTGGCGCTTCTTCTTCTTCGATCCCAGTTGGCGAGGTTCTAGCCAGAATCTCACACCTTTAGAGCCCGCGCCAAATGAGTGTATCTCGGGACGTCTTGCCTCTGGAAAGTCCGTGCCATCGCCACGCCTCGCAAGAGAATGGATCGTCTTAGGCCTGATGATAAGCTCGCCGCTTCGGTTTCTCCTTTCGGGTAGATGGAGTGTGCGTCCCCGGATACCATGCAGTACTTCGTTTAAGGCAGACAGGCTCTTGCCGTTTGCCTTTTGAAATGCATCCATGAAGTCAATCAGACGGCCGCTGTTGTAGAATGCCCCATGCTAACGTTTACGTTAACCAGGACCCTACCAGCAGCGAGTCTGACGCTCGAGAAGAATCCACGAATTGCTGTTAGCCCACCAACTAGATGAGCCTTGTCCGGCTGTGAAGCCTTGTTGCTAAGTGGAAAGGTTCTGTTGGCTCTGTTACCGCCACGTGAGACAAGGTCGGGAGATGTCATGGGGTAATGATTTAGAAGAATATTCAGCGCTTGAATCATTGGGAGCTTCTCATCATACTGGCTAAAGTTTGTTGACGTGAGATACTCTATCAGCTGTGTGACCCGCAGAGTGTTGGTGTATAGGATACGGGCCCTGTACTGGGTAGCGTCCTCGGCGGGTTCGTCCTCTTGTTCATCTCGGTACAACACGGGTATGATGATTGCATTATTCGCCAACGGTAATTTCTCTCGTGATATTATGCTAGACTTGAAATCAGTGACTAGATCGGCTGCCATTGAGGTAACCGCTGGCGTCTCCAGCACCAATCTAACGATTTGGGCTAGCTTCCTGCCAGATGCAGCGGGTCTCACATCAATAGCGTATCTGTAGAAGACTAGATTGGGGTCCGGAGTAATATGAAAGTAGTTGGCCCAAAGAGTCACTTCGTTTCCCTTCGTTCCATATCCTGGGCGAGGAGGGTATTCGGAATTCAGTTGGAGCTTGCTAAGAGTCAAGGGATCTGCGATGGCTCTCTGAATTCCGTCTTCGATTTCCCTTACAATGGGATCAGGAGGAGGAACTTTCCCATCAGGTGGTCTATGTGGAATTATTTGTTAGTACTGTGATTTCGGTGGTGGTGGCATTTAGTGGACAAACAAGTAGACTATATCGCTTCTTCCTTGAGGTCTTGTCGGCCCACCCTCCCTTCTGTGGGGGGTATCTCTGAAACCTCGGAATGACATGTTGTGTTGGACTTTGGCGTCGCTTCTGTGAGAGCTCAGATGGAATGCTGTGAGAGTAAGGAATCAGGGAGTAGCGTGTAATTAGAAGATGAAGTGAGGAAGAGAGGAACAAAGACAGGAGATGAAGGAGTAAAAGCTCAGAAGCTTGTGTTTGAGGAGTGGGGTAAGACACTAGATTTGATTTCACCGTGTCTAGGGAGCATATCAGGTTACATGGAACCCCTGAGCAGTAAGTGAGGCAAGTTTGTCAGATTGCTGGGGCTGGTCGGGTGGCCACACTGTGCAAAACTGATCATTGGCTGGAGATCAATGATCATGCTAAGTCTGGTCTCGCGGTGCGTATGTCATTCTTGTTGATTTCACTGTATGAGTATAAGATGAGCATAGGTACATACTTATAGAGTTGATCTGAATCACCTTGTTGTATAGTAGTCTCTGGACCTCCACACGTGACCGGTGGTATGTGTTTTTATCACTTCAGTTACCAAAATTGTCACCTAATACAGAAAAGTAGATCTGGAAGAATTCTAGTAAGATGTAAGAGAAAGATGCCCATCTATTGATCATGTAATGACTACGGCTTTATCACAACAGTTGGAGAGAACGAAGACGTATGATGCCAACTAGGGCTACATGTGACACGAGATAGTGCTTCAGGCACTTCCTTCGAGAGGAACCAATATATCGAACATGCCTCATCCTCATCCATCTACTAGTCAAATCAGTACTGACTAACACCCACCACCTAATCCCCTCCCTGTGATGCATGGATGTCCAACTTCAAGTTGCCGACGACATTCCCATAGCTGCTGGATAAGGCCAAGAAGCATGTCTTTCGTTTTTAAAACATCATGCCCATTAATCCGTCGCTTGTTGACCAATGAACAGGTCGATTGAGAGTCAGATTTTGTCAGTAGAGATTCTTAGTCCATTATCATCAAGGTAATGTCCAGAGATTGACAAAGAGCAAGACTTATTCCAGACGTCGAGACGTGCCGTACGTTCAGCCCGCTATGGTATACACCATAGTCCAGGCCGATCTCATTCATGACAGCTGCAACATAAATTTGTTCGGCGGTATACAAAGTCCACACGATTGCTTTTTCTTTGTGAAGCAACACTTGATCACGGATAATAGGTAGCATTGCTCTCATCTTCGGAGAGCCACGCAGGAGAAATTCAAGACGTGCCGTGTTTGTATCATGTACCCTGGCTTTTGCTGTGTGGTAAAAGTCTTTTACAGTCATGTCTTTCTCCAGGACAACCCTCTTCTCTACTTGAGTCATCCATGTGTCCCCTAATATACCTCTTTCCAAGAGTCTCAGCGCTGCAGGTATTTTGGTCACTTCTGGTGACTTTGACAGGAAGATGAACCCGAGCCAGGAAGCTAACAGCACCAGCTTTCGTAATTTCTGGCTATTCCGGTAAAGGCGCTTCCGATCGTACTCATCCCGTACGAACAGTCCCTTTCTAGACTGCTTTTCTGCATTTTTGTAAGTTGTCAGCTCGTATGGGTCGTACTTTACTGTCAAAATTCTTTTTTGCGATCCTGGGATGTCTGAGCCGATTATTCTCCCTCCGTGGAATGGAATTGTCGATATGATCGTTCGGCGGACCATCAACAGAGTAAGTACCCGGCGCATACGCTCTGCTCCTTCATGAGGGTGGAGTCTTTGGGCAAAGATATGTGTTTCGATTGCCTCGTTGGTACAGAGCATGTATTCCAGGTCTAGGCTGCGGGGCAGCGGTTGTTTCGCGTGCGTACTGCCATGCAATGAGAGTAAGCGGATTCTCATCAGTCTCTACAGAGAGACATTTGAACGAGATTGTGATGGCAGCTCTAACAGAAGATTGGGGCGCTTCGATCCATCTGTGCGCGCTTGAAGCAAAGTGAGAGGCAGACTCGGATGGAACAACGAGGGACGAAGGCCAGTAATATATCGCGGGAACATTAACAGACTGTCCAGTTTAACAAAGATTATGCAATAGTCCATTTCACTGACTCCAGATTTGAGGAATGTGAGGAATATGAATGGCGTCTGACGCGGGATGACAAGTCGAGATCTGCTGCACTCAGAAACTGGCTTGAAAAACAACTCCGTATAAATGTATATACAGGGAATGAAGGAAGGATTGCAAATCCGTAGTCACTCAACTATATTATGTATGTAATGGCATCAACGTGAATAGGCGATGAGCTTGATATAAGAACTGCATCTACTACTTTAGCCCTAATCGATAGTGATCAGTGATCACATAGACATCCTTCACTTCAGGCTATATTCATAGATGGTTTGAGGGTAATATTTCTCGAACATGACCCTACCAATTAGATTTGATTATCGAGGACATTAACAAATGCATATTTAAATTAGTAGATAAGGTGCAGCAGAGAACAAAATAATTCATGTAACCACCTATATAGACTAAGGCGGCAAGGCCCGAGTAAAAACAATGAAAAGGGTAGTCTACCAGTCTTGCAACCAAGTGTAATGTCATTGTAACATCATCTTCGACCTTAATATTTTTCACTACAGTACGATGATAATTTCACAGTGAAGTCCATGTCCAAGTTTGGACGTATACAATCTCCCTCTTAATCACACCATACATTCAACATGACCGCCGCCGCCGCTGTTGGCGACATTGCTGGAATCGCCAATCTCATCAGTCAAATATACAGCGCTATTGGGGACCACATAATTGAAAAGGAAACGCTTATAATGCTTTTAAAAGACTACGAATACCGACTGACAGCAGACCAACCATTTCTTGCGCGCGGTTTGGAGCTTCGCCATTGCCAACCGCATGCTATGAATCTCTACGAAAAGCTCGTTCTCCTGGGAGAATGGCTTGCTGGTAAGCATATCAGGCTGAAATATGCCCAAAGCAGCCTACTTAGCACTCGGCGGTGGAGATTCCCTTGGAAATTCAGTGGGAAGAAAAGGGTTGTTTTCCAGCAGTTCCTGGGTGATATCCAACATGCGTCCGATAGGTTAATTGATTGTGTGAATAGTTCTCCACATGTTAGTATTACTGGCTTAATTGAGTTTGTGAGGATTGAAGCTTATTATTCTACAGAATAACGTTCTCATAGCCTTGCCAGGTGCTGCGGTAGATCCTCCGCCAGCAGGTACATAAGTCAGAACGAGACAAGGTCACATCGATAGCTGACTTATAATATATAGGGCTCCCAGTACTGCAACACAGGGCTCAAGCTCTCCATGATCAAGCCCTCACATAAGTCATGAATCATAAGATGCTGCCATCACAAGGCTCTTGTCATTCTAATTAGCTGTAATACGGTACTCGATAACGCTGTCTATCGCTTGATTGTCGGTGTCTTTTTATTATGATTAATCATCCTAAAATAGCCTTCATACTAGTAAACTGTATTTTAATCAAAATGGGTGCCATACCCACTCCATACATCGTGAAAGTCTCGGATGATCAATTCGAAGGATGGTCGATATAATATTGCTGCCTTCAAAAGCAGGCATCCACGTCACCTTACCGAAAAGGGTAAACTGTTTCAGCACGGGCTCCCCAGCCACTGATTTGTTCACCTCAAGATTTAATCCAAATCGACAGCCCAACTCCAGACTTGGACTAGTATTATATTTAGTTGTCAGTCAGGATCTGCATATCTGTCGATCTGCTGTCATTCCTTCTTTCATTTTTTCTGATTTCTCTTACTCTTCATTTAAACTGACAGGATTTTATCGTATCTAACTGTGGTCGGGTTACGGTAGATTTATATATCTTGACATCAATCACTGTTGTAGTTCTAGGTGAGTACCTATCTTCATCTTTACTTTGAAAGTTGTTATGAACTAACATGGCGAGAACAGAGTATTCCAAGCACAGATGCTGGTCTTCCCTCTTCTCGCCTGGGCTCTCGGACCAGCACCACTGGCAGTCCAGGCACTGACAGACGGCAACTCATCCATCTACCACAAAGAGGCAGATCTAGACACATACAATATCCTGCAACGCAATGCAGCTATTCAAAACCAGCTATCTCAAACGTCCGTCCGGGGCATCAAGAAGATGAGCGACGACGAAGGCGAGAAGTTCTTTCTCGACTACTGGTACTTCGGAGAGAACAACCAGACCGACCTACAGAGCTCTCAAACCCCAGAAAAGACACAATCTGATCTACACCCTCGCATATATCCGTATCAGCCATCCCAGTCTGTGGGTGAGACTTACAACTCCCACGGATGGATGGCCCAATTCTCACCGCTTCTTCGGAGAGAATTCAAATGCCCCGCGGGGACAAATTCATGCGCCTCGATTAATCGCCCGGACAGCTGCTGCAGTACGGGATCGACCTGTGAGCTGGTTGACGATACAGGGTCTGGGGATGTCGGGTGTTGTCCGGACGGACAGCATTGCTCTGGCACGATTGGTTCGTGTCAGCAAGGGTACACCAGCTGTCCTGCGTCATTGGGTGGCGGATGCTGTATCCCCGGATACGAATGTGTTAGCGGTGGCTGTAAGTCCGGGCCGATTTATAAGATGATGAGCTTTGGGCTAATGAATTTGCAGGCGCCAACGTGTACACGGTGACGATCACGGTGAGCTCGACTATCATGGTGTCCACTGTCACGGACACGGTTCCCGCGACTAGCACGGTTTCTAGTAGCAGCCGGAGCAGCAGCACGACACGATCGTCCTCTAAATCCACCGGAGAGTTTACTCCTCCTGCTCGACCAACGAGTCTCTCGACGGCGACCGCCTCCCAGACGGGGTCGATCTGTCCCATTGGATTCTACGCCTGTTCCGCTGTCTACCAGGGAGGATGTTGTCGCACTGGCCGCGACTGTGATACCAGCTCGTGCCCCCAGACCCCATCGACGACGATCACGACTAACGACCGAACCATTGTGGTTCCCGCCGAGACGGAAGCGCCGCCAGCGACGACGGGACGATGCGCGAGTGGGTGGTTCCGCTGCGCAGACACCGCAGGTGGGGGATGCTGTCCAACAGGGTTCGCATGCGGCTCCAGCTGCACCGCACAGGAAACGGGGACTGCGACGGGGACCGTGGCGAAGGAGCAGCCCACGAATTCCGCTGGCGAGAGAAACCTCCCGGAAGGAATGAGCCTGGCCGGAATCAGTTTCCTAATTGGGGTGGTCTGGACGATTGGATGAGGCACGAGCGCATGTACTTACTAGTAGAACGCAGTAACGAGAACCACGAATGGGAATGATCCTTAATAATAATCTTAACTAAGTATGCTCACCCCGTGGGGCGTTTTGCAGTCGGCAGCGTTGTGGGGCCGTGTTGGACTTCTCACCGGGCTGGGATTTTTCCCGTTCGGGAATTGGTCCGATACGCTCCGACGTTCAACTCCGCTCGCTTTCGCTCCTTCGCACGCTTGCGTGATCTCCTTCTCTTCTCTTCTTTTCCCACTCCCCTCACCACCTCCCCAGCTTCCATTGTCCCATTGCTGCGTAGTTTTGTTTCCCTCCATATCCGCAACAATGTCGGCCAACACTCAGAAGCCCCTCCCCTTCCAATACCAGTTCGCCGCTGGCGCGGTGGCTGGTGTGTCCGAGGTGCGTTATCGGAGCTGCGACCTGTCATGCTAACCAAACCCACTGACTCCAATCTAGATCCTGGTCATGTATGCTCAATTCCGATCCGATCGCCAATCGTATCAATTCTAACCAAAAGAATGTCCCCAGGTACCCATTGGACGTCGTGAAGACCCGAGTGTAAGCTCCATCAGGCCATATCCACCAACAAAACGAATCTAACCCCACACAGCCAACTGCAATCCGGCACCCGCGCCGCAGGCGAGGAGTTCTACACGGGCATGTTCGACTGTCTGCGCAAGATCATCAAGAATGAGGGGTAAGCCATTCATCCCACCCTGAACACCACCGTCGAAGCCAAAAAGAAAAAGAAAAACACACCTAACGTACCAAAAAGCGCATCCCGTCTGTACCGCGGTATCTCCGCTCCGATTCTGATGGAAGCGCCCAAGCGTGCGACCAAATTCGCCGCCAACGACAGCTGGGGATCGTTCTACCGGGGCCTGTTCGGAGTGGAGAAGCAGACGCAATCGCTCGCTGTGCTGACGGGCGCCACGGCCGGCGCCACCGAATCCTTCGTCGTCGTGCCCTTCGAGCTGGTCAAGATCCGTCTGCAAGACCGCGCGTCCAAGTACAACGGCATGCTCGACGTCGTCAAGAAGATCGTGCAAACGGAGGGACCCCTGGCCCTGTACAACGGCCTCGAGTCGACGCTGTGGCGACACATCCTCTGGAACGCTGGTTACTTCGGCTGTATCTTCCAGGTGCGCGCGCAGCTGCCCAAGGTCGAGCCCGGAAACAAGACCGAGCAGACGCGGAACGACCTCATCGCGGGTACGATCGGTGGTACGGCGGGTACGATTCTCAACACGCCGATGGATGTGGTGAAGTCGCGGATTCAGAACAGCCCCAAGGTGGCGGGGCAGACCCCCAAGTATAACTGGGCCTGGCCGGCGGTGGGCACGGTGATGAAGGAGGAGGGCTTCGGGGCGCTGTACAAGGGATTCATTCCCAAGGTGCTGCGGTTGGGTCCTGGTGGTGGTATCCTGTTGGTGGTGTTTACGGGAGTGATGGATTTCTTCCGTAAGATGCGGGGTGAGAATCTCTGATCGAGTGCGTTTTCGGTTCTTGTCTATTCTTCTTTTGCTTGCAACTAGAGAAAGACCTTGCTTTTCAGTTAGAGGGAGGTGTAAAAGACTTTTATCTATATGTGTTTATGTCAATTGGACTTTTGATGATATCTCGTTCGAAAGATACCGCTCTCATACTGTGTGTGCTACGTAGACCACGAGTGCTCTATTGGACTACGTCGGGATCGAGAATCTGATACCAGTAGAAAAACCGTCATGTATGACTAACCATTATATAACACAGCAAAGAACATCCGAGATACAACCAATCGCATCATGGGCAAAGGAAATCTTGAGCAGGCAACAGAAAAAGAGAAAGGGTATCGATGTAAAAACGCATGTAGAAGCCCCTCTCAGACGGGCAGCATTGCTAGCAGAAACTAGTTCGCACCGCGTTCTGGATAAATAGACAAAAAGCAGATGATACCGAGTCGGTCTTGGCCGTCATTATGCATAACATTATAAAGATAGAGAAAGCGACAAGTCTGAGCGGTAGAAGCAAAAACCAGGGACATAGATAGCCAAAATAGACAGCGAAAAGTCAAGGGGTGGAGCATTGATATAAACGACAGACAGAACGAGCTTATAAAGATATTGGACAACAGAATAGCGTAACCGGGCAAATTCACAAGAACGGGAAAAGCAACAAAGCAAACTTCACATGAACTGGGTAAGTGAATCAGAAAAATTAGTCTGGGTATGTCAAGACTTCCGCGTACGCCGGATCGCTCCCTCCATATGACGCCGTGTATGCAATAGGTCATGCATGGCATGCACTCATAGAACCCCGGATGGGCACAACACCATCGGAGATGTCTAATTCATTTCCATGGCGTACTCATCTTCCTCCTTGAAGCTCATCCCCGCGTGGCCGGAGCTGCTCCAGTACTGGGCCTGGCCGGTACCACTGTTGCTACTAGCCCCGCTGTTGAACGAGGGGCTCAAGTTCTGTGGACTCAGCCCGCCATTGGACGCGACAGGGTCTCCGGCCATATTGGTATGCTTCGGCACTCGCAGCCCACTGCCCGGTGCCCGGCTGTAGCTGAACGAACTGGGGTCATTCTTCTCCAGCGCATCCAGGATCTCCGTGCGCATGCGCTTCTCTTCTTCGGTTTGCTCAAAAGGCCAAGTGCCTCCCAGGCTGCTGATCAACTCCGCCAGTTCGGCTTCCTGTTGGAGTTTCACATGGAGCGACCACATGAGGTCTCGCATCCAGCCGACGGCCCCGTTCAGAATGTCGCCTTTGTTCGGGCCCTTTTCCTTTTCCTCGATCGGCAACCCCATGGTAATGTTGCCAGCTGCGCGACGACCGTTGCCACCGGCCAACAATGACGTGGCTGCGTTGGAGCTGGCTCCGGTGCTAGACATGGCGGTGTTGTTAACAAGTTGCTTCCGGACTTTGTCATCCTCTAGCCGATGCTGGGGAACAAGATGGGACAGGTCCTGGATGCGTTCGTTGATGTTGTCGCGTCGGCGACGCTCGACCAGGTTATGCGAGGCCCTCCGACGACGTCGCTTGGCTTCCTGTGACTCCAAATCCTGGGCAGTTCCGGGCATATGTGTATCAACCT